CAAAGGGAATTAGCAAACCAGATACAGAGTACGAAACTCATGTACACACACACACACACTTTCTAAATAAATGTTCTACAAATCCTAACTTCTACTAAATCCTCGCCTAAACTAATAGTACTGATTTAAAGAGAGTCGAAAGGGAAATGGTGTAGGGGGGAAGGGAGAAACATATGCTAGCCTGTCCTGATGAGCGAAGTCTGTAGTGTTCATCAGAGGAAGGAGAAAGAGCCGTGGGAGAAGACAACGTGGAGGAGCAGAGCACAATCTTCGCAGACACCTGCGTTGGGATAGCAGGGCCGGTGCAGAATCCTGTGCACATTCCCCACTACGCATTCCCACGTGGGGGTTGTGGACCCAGTTGCTGGAGCCCAGCAATGAGATGAGAATCAACAGCCAGAACCAGGGGTCGTTTCGTAGAAAAAGAGCTAGGGAAACTCATTAGCATAACTCATTAGCATATGCCACACCCCCTGACATCACCGGAGGTGTGTCATAAGGCCACACCCCCTGCCATCACCGGAAGTGTGTCATAAGGCCACACCCACCACTCAGTTAGTCTTAAAGGTTAGTCTTAAAGGTGCTTGTGCTATTTGAACTCTTGGACTATTTTGCAGCAACAGACTAACACAGCTACCTCGGGGAAGCTCCTGGATGGGGCTGGGAGTCCTTGAGGAGGCCACGTGGAGTGGCCTCGGCCAGGCAGAGGGGGAGGACGCCAACTTACCCTCCTGCTTCTTCCTCCTTCTGCAACAGAATGAGGCTGGAAGAAGGGGGCGGACGGAAGAAGGGGCGGGGCTTCGTCGTGTGCCCTGCCCCCCTGTACCTCACCCGGGGGAACTGCGTTCCCCTGCGTTCCCCCTCGAAATGACCTCTGCCTAGAACCAAAAAACCCCACCACCCTGGGATTCTTGGGTCTAACTTTACACCCAAGAAGTGTGAAGCTAGAGGGGGAAATAAGATATTTCTCAAAACAGATTGGATTGGAGGCAAAAGTTTCAAAGCTCGTTGGTAGATCAGCGAGATAACCATTGTGCGGGAAAGATATTTCTCAAGGAGGGGGAAATTAGGGATATCGATTCCTTCTGTGACGTTTATAGCCCAAATGGAATAATATGCTTAGGTTATATGGTCACCGTTTGTTTGGATTAAATTCCAGGGGAAAACATAGTGAAGGACATAAATATATCACAGTCAGAGACTGGCGAGCCGACGTGTCACTCATAACTCAAGGACAGATCCTGTGCGTCTTTGTGGAAAAAATTGTTGAATGCCGAACTTAATTGAAACACTATTACTTTGGGGGGGGGGAGTGAGCTCAACTCTCAGTTGTCTTTTCCCAAGCACAGTGGTAATAGCATTACATCCTTTCTCTGAAGTGGTCTGATTCGTTGTTCAGTGTTTCCCTTCTGCCCCCCAGATTAGACAAATACATTCCTATTTACCATTCCAAACTTAAAAAGGTAAAGGTAAAGGTTCCCTTGCTCGAAAGCCAGTTGAGTCCGACTCTAGGGTTGCGGTGCTCATCTCCGTTTCAAAGCCGAAGAGCCAGCGCTGTCCGAAGACGTTTCCGTGGTCAAGTGGCCAGCATGATTAAACACCAAGGCGCACGGAACGCTGTTACCTTCCCACTGAAGTGGTCCCTATTTATCTACTTGCAATTTCTTGCTTTCGAACTGCTAGGTTGGCAGGAGCTGGAACGAGAGACGGGAGCTCACTCCGTCATGAGGCACCCGGGTCTCGAACTGCTGAACTACTGACCTTCCACAGCCTGCAGTTCAGCGTCTTAACCACTTGAGCCACCGCAGCTCCATATTCCAAACTTAGGTAAAGGCAAAAATTAAGAAATTTTTAAAAAGTATACATAGCCCTTTTATTTATTTATTTAGATTTGTACCCTGCCCTCCCCACAAGCGGAGGATTTTGAAGGACGGGTGAAGGGATTCCAGCTATGTACTCAGGCACTGATCCAAGAGCCTGACCGTGGGGTAATAAGCCCTGCTCTCTGCCTCCCTAAAGGCAGAACAAAGTTTGAGTCCAGCCGCACCTTTAAGACCAATGAAGTTTTATTCAAGGCATAAGCTTTCGTGTGCACACACAAACTTCTTCAGATACATGCGTACACATGGAAGTGTCGTAGCCCAGCTGGTCTCGCAGGCTCCAAGCCCAGGTCCAGGTCACGCAGGCAGGAGCAGGTCAAAGGAATGTTCACAGCGTAGTCCAAACAGTCCAAGGTCGGTTGTTACAGTTAGAGAGAACCCAAAAGCAGAGTCAAGCCGGTCCAAGAGTCACAGGAGTAGAGCAGAGTCAGGAGTTGTGGTCGCAGGATTCACTATGAGGTGATGTGTTGCTTCCACGAGTTGGCAACAGCTCACACCCAGCTTTATGTACCAGCTTTTCCCTAATTAGTCTTATCTGCAGCTGGCAAGTTAGCAGGGGCTCCTGCAATGACTCATCTTGTAGCTGTCGACGGGCCATACACCTTTTACTCCCGTCTGCATTCTTGCAATTGCCTTCTGAACTTAGCCCTTCTGTTTTCTGTCAGCACGGGGCTCATACTGGGCTCCAGTTGCCAATCAGACTGGCCAGGCTGCAAGTCAGACTGGTCCTCACCCAGGCTGCACTCAGGCAGCAAATCAGAGTCTGGCTGCACCTCAGGCCGAGGCTGGTCCACGACACCAAGCTTATACCTAGAATAAAAGTTTGTTGGTCTTAAAGGTGCCGCTGGACTCGAACTTGGTTCTGCCGCTTCAGACCAACACAGCTACCCACCCAAATCTCCCTACAGGCAGAGTTTGGGGTGGGTGGCAGCCAGAGACAGAGCTGGTTTCAGTGGTGGCTCCTCATCTCTGGAATTCCTGCCCTCTTGAATCTTGCCTTATCCTCCGTTTCAGCACCAGGCCAAAATAATTCAGACATTCAACTCGAGGGCTTCCCTCTTCTTAACCCTGTTTTATTGGTCTGCTGCTAGCTTGAAGCCTGTTTTATGGATAGCATTTTAAAGTTGCTGGATATTATTTTATGCTGTTCGTCTGATGGCTCATTATGGAATTAGTAATTCTTGTGATGATGTCTTTAACCTTTGACTGTTATTGTTTTTACTTTGCATACCATCTAGAGCAGGTCTCTGGAGAGATGGCATATTTATTAATTTACGTTATTTATCGTCTGCTTTCCTAGTAGAGACTCAGAGAGATTACACAGAATAGATAAATACAATCAGCAGCATGGGACATCCAATAGACAATGCAATAGGATTCGACTTGTAGAACTCTGGAACCAACCAATTCTCAGAATAAATGTGAGTTATTATTTTTCAAATATTTTATTAAGAAAGCATAACAAGGAAATTCCGACCATTTGCACAATTTTTTTTTGCCAAAGTTCCACTATGTTTTCTATATAAATACACCTGACATTAAAGATGTGCAAAACCCTCCTAAGTAACGTCACAAACCTTAATGAAATCACTTATATTTTTGTCAGTTTTCCTACAGATGTTTTTCTTGAGCAGGTGCCTCCAAATCTGCCTGAGATTTGACTTTGGGCAAGCTTCAGAAAAAGAGGGTTGGGGTGTTTTTTTTTTGCAAACCAACAAAATTCTTTTACTTTCTCTGGAATTATCACACTACCCTCTCCCCCCCCCCATCAGGACTCTCCAAGTAAACTTTGCTCTGAGTGAAATCTGGTGTCAGGTTTGCTAGCAAACTTTTAAAGCTAGCCTGAAGGTTTTAACTCCGCAAGGCTGCTATTTCTAGTGCAAGCATATGATTTCTTTAAAATAAAGATATTTTAAAATTCTAATACATGTCTATATTTGGGATTTCTTTTTTTAAAAATTGCTACTGCTCAGCTCCAGTGATTGTTTATGGGAATGGGGGATCTAACGCGCATATAAAACTCTAATGCATGTGCATAACATAGCATAAGCACACACAGATCAGGGCACATGACAGCAATCCATAGGTACACATTCCAGAAGTCCCACCAGCATTAGCAAGATTATTCTGAAATTAAACATGTGCTTTGAGGACTGAAAGCTTCAGTGGAATGATGCGTGAGCTAGGGATGTGCGCTCAGATATAACCAGGCCAAAAATATATCCCAAAAAATCCCTTATTGGTATTTTTCAGCTATATGTTGATCTCCCAAATATATCTGCGCTTTTTTGGGGATACCGAAAAATCCCAGAAATATTTAGGATTAACCAGGAATATCAAGAGCCAGCTTTTGCAGGCTCCCAGGACTGGTTTTTTCTCCTCTCTTCCCCACTGTCCTTCGTCTTGCGGGGTTTGGTACGGGCTTGCCAGGCTGCTGTAGGAAAGAATCTGTCAGTTCCAAGTGTTTTTGCTGTTCTTTAAAAGTTTGTTCTGTGCTGGAATTAGTTTATGTCAGGTTGACGGGGTGTTTTACTTTTTGGTGAATTTTCATTTCTAATGAGATTCTTGCATTTTACATAGGTCAAGATTCTTGCATTTAACATGTTTCAGATTCTTGTATTTTACATGGCTTCAGATTCTCAAGTATCACATAGTTTTAGATTCTTAGGTTTTACATTGCTGAGGCTTAGCTGTAGATGGCAATACCGTTTCTATGGGGGAGATTCTCGGGTTTTACATTTTTATAGGGGTTTTTTCCCCTTCATCGGAAACAATGGAGGATGGCTGGGGACACCTTGTTCAGGGGCCCATAGAATTGGACTCCTAGGTCACATTGACTTGAAATTTAGGAGTTATTTAAACGACAGGCACCAGCCGCTCCCTTGCAATTTTGGTGCCAGTACCTTTAGAAACGTCCCTCCCAGCCCCCAGCAAGCTTTCCCACAGAGAATACTGGAGCTGAAAAATACTGGAAACCCAAAAAAGACCCCGATCCAAACACCACACTGGTATTTGGAATACTGGTATTTGGAACATGGGAAACTGGGAATATCAATATTTTTTGGCTCTAGTACATCCAGATCCAAAAAGTATCTCTTTTTTCTTTCTTCCTTTTGCTGCACATCCCTAGTGTGAGCAGAATTTACCTTTACATACAGTTCTTTCAAAAAGATTTTTTAATTTAATATAAAATAGATCGCATCAGGACAGTCACTGTAACAACAGAAGGAATCAATTTGGTTTCTTCAGTATTTCTCAGCACTGATCACATTTAGATGCACGTATTTTTTCCAGTCTGAGAAGGATTCTGCATATCTAAAAAAAAATAAAAGGTCACAATATTAGATACACACTATTTAGTCTAAGCACTTGCTTCCATTTAAACTGACCAAAACGAATCCAATTGGCCTGGAGAAGTCGGGGGGAAACCCCATTATTTTTAATCTTTATACCCTATGTATCCCTCAATTGTAATGAGGTCGATTGCCCTGTAGTTTCTTGGCCCCCACAACTGTACATTTTGTAAATTGTACTGCATACTCTAACAGTATCGGGGTCGTTCTTAGCCCCAATTGCACTGAAAGTGAACCAGAAAATGGTAGTTAGCATGAAAGTGAAAAATTACATTTTCTCCATTGAGTCTCTGCTGTCATTCTGTTCTCTTACTGCCCAACGGAATTATTTGATAAAAAGCCGGGGGACTTTTCTCACCAGCTGGTAGCACACTCAACACAAGCCACATTTCTGTTTTAATTTCTGAAATGTTGGGAGGGGTCTATTTGACCCACACTTGGATTGCCAACCTCCCAGCATTCTCCTAGAACTAACAACTGATCTCCAGAATACGGTGATCAGTTCTCCTTGAGGTTCTTGGGGTATTTTAAATTTTATTTTAAACTTTTTTATAGAAGAAGAAGAAGAGAGTCACTCAGAGTCTCAGAGCGGCTTACAAACTCCTTTTTTTCTTTATGCATAATAAAAAAATATTAAATTGGAAAAGAAAGAAAAAACCTGACTTCCAGGCACACACACAAATACCACCACCACCACCCCAAGAAAGCAAGGATCAGTTTTTTTTTAAAGACTCTGCCTCTAGCAAGCTACTGTCAATCACAGCAGTCAGAGCTGACCTTGGCGGACCAATGGTTTTACTCAGTTTAAGGCACCTTCATGAGGATAGGGACCTGCCTGTCCACTTTGGTCATCTTCAGAAGCCTTGCGTAGGGCGGTCCCACTATCTGAGGCTAGACTGGGGGCGGGGGGGGGCACACTGAGCAAGGGCCTGCTTGGCTGCCCTGCTGAAATTTTGGAAATCTCACCCCAGGGAGATCCGTCTGCCTCTCGCCAGAACGTGAAGACTTTCTGTTTTGTCTTGTTTGGCATACTCCCCCAATAGACTCTCCTCCCTAGTTTTTGTTTTGTTTGTCTACATATTTGTATAGAATCAGAGAATCACAGAGTTGGAATGGAGCAGAGGTCCATCAGTGGCTATTAGCCACAAGGTATAGATAGGGGTTCTGGGGCAAGTGATGCTCTGTCTTCTTGGTGCTTGGGGGGGGTCAACAGTGGGAGGGCTTCTAATGTCCTGGCCCCACTGGTGGACCTCCTGATGGCACCTGGTATTTCTGGCCACTGTGTGATACAGAGTGTTGGACTGGATGGGCCTTTGGCCTGATCCAACATTGGCGTCTCTTATGTTCTTATGGATCTCCAGGGTCATCTAGTTCAACCTCCTGCACAATGCAGGAAATTCACAAACACCTCCCCCCCCCATAAACACCCAGTGACTCCTGTTTCATGCCCAGAAGATGACAAAAAAAAAACCTTCAGGATCCCAAACTGGCCTGGAGGAAAATTGCTTCCTGACCCCAATGTGGCAATCTGTATTTCCCTGGGCGTGTAAGAAAGGGCCACGAGAACTAAGCACTGAGGCAACCCTTCCTGCCCTCCCTCTCATGATCTGCCTCAGTTCACAGGATCAGCATCGCTGTCAGATGGCCGTCTAGCCTCTGTTTGAAAACCTCCAAAGGAGGAGAGCCCACCACCTCCCGAGGAAGCCTGTTCCACTGAGGAACCGCTC